GAATGGCTACTTAGGCAATGGTTCCCAAGATTCATTTTACCATGCTCACCTACCCTGCAACTCAGAGGCCACTACTACCGTGGTTCAGTGGGGCCTGGCTACTGTGCCTGCTGACAACAGACCTTGGCATCATCCAAATGCTGGGTTTATGGGGCATGCAGAAGACAAGAATTGTGGGGTCATGGAGGCTTCCACTCATATTGAAAAGGAATGCCTGGGAGATTAGGCAAACAACCCCTGTGAAAGGACTGCAGGAAGCTGTGAGAGGGAAGCCAAAAGCACAGTGAAGACCCTAGGAAGCTGCAAAAGCCAGGAATGTGTGCTGAGAAGGTCTGTTGAGGAAAGCTGAAGGTAGTGAGTGGAACCAGCCCAAGAGAGAAGCCCAATGGGTTTTAACTGACAAGGCCATAGGAGCAGGGCTGCCCAAGACTGCTGGACCTCACATCTCACCATCATGTGTCCCAGCTGCCAGACACTGAGCTAAAGAACTTCATGTGTGTCCTGCTCGATTTCAGTCTTGCTTTGGTTCAATTCTTTTCTATCCTCATATTCTTCCCTTTTAGAATGGAAATTTTACTCTTTTGTAAAGGACAATTTAGTTAGTTGGTTTATAGGAAGATAGTAAGGAGCAGGCCTAAGACAGAGTCAGCTAAATACAGTGAAAATAGTACACACACACACACACACACACACTCTTTTCTATCCTCATATTCTTCCCTTTTAGAATGGAAATTTTACTCTTTTGTAAAGGACAATTTAGTTAGTTGGTTTATAGGAAGATAGTAAGGAGCAGGCCTAAGACAGAGTCAGCTAAATACAGTGAAAATAGTACACACACACACACACACACACACACACACACACACACACACTCCAAGTTAAAAGTTAATTCAAGCCATGCAGCTAATCAAACATAAAAATCTAAAAGCAAGCAGAAGAATAAGGATAAAAGTTAGGATAAGGATGGGCAGATAAGACACCCCTCCAAGCAAAGGCAGAGTATGCTAAAAGAATTAACCACTCCTCCTCATCTCTGGGCTGGAATTGGGGAAAGTAAGAATGGGCAGAGTTACCAACCTCCTTTGAACTTGATTTTCTTTGAACTTGGCCAGCTGAGTAACTGATTTTCTTTAAACTCTACATTACAAAGCCTAAACCCAACTGGTTGTTTTTAAATTCACAAAGCCACTGGGGATAGCCACCTGTGATTACTGGAAAACTGAGCAAGTTCCTATTTTTGCTTATAGACAAAAGAAACATCCTGAAACTCCACTTTAAAGACCCGACCTGGATACTTTCCAGGAGCCATTCTTCTTGCACTTCCTACAACGTTTCCCTTTTAATCCCCCTTTTTACTGTGATTTCATTCTTTGACTTGGTGAGACAAGGAACTTGGTTTGTACAATGATAAGTGTTTCATTGTAACGTCCTGCCTTGGAATTATGTAACTTTTGTTTTATTCCTCCAGAGATTCACAGCTAAGAGTTTGCCTTGAGTCTGAGAAGAGACTTTGACTGGGGCTTTTGAAAAGTGGGATTGTTAAGACCTTGAGGAAGGGATTGCTGTGTTCTTGGTTGCATGTAGGATAGTTGTGACGCATTAGGCAGAATATGAACTTTCTACTGGATTTATGTGAAGGTTAAGTGTGGCTTAAAGAAACGTCTTTGGGTGTCAGAGGGGTAGATGCAGAACCAGCATTGCTCCCCATGGCCCCTGGCCACTAACTAGCAGATTGGCTTCCTGCATCCCTGATTCTGCTCTCTGTTGGCTGGAGGTCTGAGTGCCAGACTGAGGAATGCTGTCTTGTGGGGAGACAAGACAGATGTGGTCACCCTACCAGGCAGAAAAACAGGCCCATCTGAGGGGCTTGCTGAAGGCCAGAGGCCTGTGGAATAGTTAGTGGAAGAGAGCGGGCATAGACACCAGCCATGACTATGTGACCCATTAGGGAAATGAAGACCTGGACCACCATGAGTATTTCCTCCTTAATTTGTATTAATGAATCTTTTGTGTGTACACACACATTCAGCAAATATCTTCTCCTCCCTCTCTTGTCTCTTGTCGTGTGACCTCAGATGTGCTACACAGCATGACATTGAAGGGATGTCATGGAGAAGAGCTGACATCCCCGAGGACACCCCAAAAGCCCATCTATGGGGCAGGTTTGATGCATTTGGGTTTAGGCAGAACAGCTGTGTCTTAGGATACTGCGGGGCGGGGGGTGTGTGACCCTCTGCCCTCACAGGTTCCAGCTGACCAGGCAAACTGTGCTGGTCAGTGTTATGGGCCACCTCTGCTGGACTGTGGTCAGGGCTTTTAATCACTCACTGCCCAGCTGCATCTTGCAGTTGTGGCTGACACTGGACATCTGTTTATGGAGCGAGGAGAGTCCCTGTCACACTCAGAGGGCCTCAGCAGATCATCGGAAGACCTTCTGAAGAAGGACTGAACTTTCCTGAGAAGAAGAAAACCCACCCTGAGAACAGCATCCTCTCCTGCCCAAGCATCTAGCCTGCTAGGAATCTTTCCTTCCTGGTGTCTGGGCTCCTCCAAGGCCCAAGTATGATGAGAGGTGCTGCATTTCTGCTACCATGGGTGAGAGTGGCCCAGACACTTGCAACTCCTTACAGCAAAGACACAGGGGACCAGAGTGCAACAGATGGACCCAGGGGACAGGCCTGCAGGCCACACACAGGGTGGCTCTGTTCCGCACAGCTCTTGAGCATTTGCTCCCAGCACCATCTCCCTCTTCCTATGGGACTCTCAGAGTCCGGGGCTGGCTGTGTTTTTTCTGCCTCTCCCTGCAAGGCTCAGAGCTGAGCCCACACATGGGAGACACAGACTGAGGGAGGAACGGACACCTCAGAACAGCGGGAGCAGGCAGAGGCAGGTGAGTCTGGATCTGTTGTGAGGACAAGTCAATGATACTGGTGGTCCTCCCTCCAGGTTGTCAGGTTCACCGGCGGCTGTGGCTTTGCTGTGTGGGTGATGGAAGCATAGGAGACACTGGGCTACAATTCAGATAAGTCACCGAGGATTCCACAGCAGTGGTATCTATGTAGGCAGCACCACTACAGGAAGTAGTTTGGGAATGGCATTCTGGGTGTGAGGGTTGAGTGACTGGGTCAGTTTGAGAAGCTCGGCATGGGAGATCCACCCACCTAGGCTGCTCCTCGTCAGCTAAGGAAGGACACAGCTGCTTGTGTTGCTTTAGAGGAGCTCCTGTCTTCACCTTGGACGTCATCTCCTGCCTTCCAGCACAGATTCTTCGGCTTCTGGCATAGACTCTTCAGCCTTCCACCCCAGACCCATGGGCCTCTTGGTACAGACCCCACAGGGCACGGCAGTGAACTCCAGACCTTCAACTAAATCCTTCGGTCTCCAGTGTGGAGACAGACCTCTGGATTCTTCCTCATTCAACCCTGAGGGAGGCCACTGTAAGCCAGTCTTGCAAATTTCTATATACATTTATACTTCCTGTGTTGTTTCCGTTTGTCTAGTAAGTACTACCCGATACACTGGGGATTCGGGCTCCCTGAGTGAGCTTACCAACCCACCAGTGAATTAACATATAAACGCACGCACGTGTGAATGGGTGGACTCTTCAGAGCCTCATAGGCCGGGCATCTTGCTGGGTTTGCCCACTCCTAGAGCCAATAAAGTCAGGGAAACCGAGGTTCAGAGGGACCATCTGCACCTGCCACTGTGTCCCTTGTGGCCTTCCTTGGGGTCACACATCGAGTCCCCACTGACTAACCTGCTCCACAGCACCTTGAGCACCCGAGACCCATGGGGCCCAGGCATCGAGGAGCAGAGGTGATGGTGGTGGTGAGTCTCAGGCGCCCGGACCACTGGAAGCAGATGGGGATCTGGGACTGGTGTCCTCTCAGACGGGGACAGATGTGGAGCAAACTGATCTCTAGGATGCAGTCACTCCGCATCCTGTCAGTGGTAGCCCTGACAGACCTGCACCCTGAATGTCCAGGAATCCCTGAGGCCCAGTTGTCCCCACACCCAGGCTGTGTTTGAGGCCTGCCGTGGCTTCCACTCACTGCAGGAAGATGACGGGCCTGAGGCAGCCGCAGCCCGGGGAGCACAGTGCTTCTCAGCAGAGACACGGAGGAAGGGGAGGGTCTGCCACCACTCCATTCTCCTTAGGTAGTTGGGGCACATTCGGCTCTCACCCAGGAGGACCACAGCCACCTGGGCCACAATTCCTTTCCCCTCAAATGTTGCCTGTTTCTCAGCCAATGATGTGAATTTAACTGGTTTTTTTTTTTTTTTGCTTTGTCAATTATTTTTGTATTAAATACATACCATAGTTTGGTTTAATGGTCACAGCAAAGCTATAAACCTAAGGGATTTATATTAAGTAATATGATAACGAGAAACATCGAGGTCAACACAGTGTTCTTGACAATCACTGCTTTCTGGAGGCCGCTGGGCTGTGGGTGCTGGGTGGGGCTGCTGAGTGGGGGATGCAGTACCCGTCCTGTGGCCTGCACCCCAGCAGGATCAGAGCATGTCTAGGGCCACTCTGCTCTCTTCTGCCTCTAACCCCGGGAGCCCTCTGCTTGTTCACCCGCTATCCCTGCTCCTCAGGGAATGTGTCCGGAGGGAACATGGGTGAGAGACCCCGAAGCTGGGACCCGGGACTGGGCCGTTCTTAAGGTCCCCTCCGAGCCCAGCCCTCTCCAAGGCTTGGGGGCATTAATTTAAATCAACTGATTGCCAGAGAAAGGCCTCATCAAAGATTAAATAAGCATAATTTAACCCAGGGAATGATAATAGATTTAGTTAAGAAGAGAAAAAAAGGAAAATTGAATTAGAATGCATATTTGAGGGAAAATTGGAGTTTAATATAATTACACTTAGAGATGAGACAGATTACAATTACCATGTTTCAGAGGTGGAATTTTTAATTGTATTATTTAAAATACAAGCCTGAATCTCTGCCCTGACACAGGTCAGAGAAGGTTCCCAGCAGGGAGGAGGTGCCCAGTCCTCCCAGGGGACCACACAGCAGCCTCCACTGCCCTTGGCGCCGATCTCTTCAAGGGTCCTCTTGTTGTCACTCTGGCCCCACAGTGGAACCCACAGGCTGGCAGCCCTGGCAGGAGAGCAGAGCCGGTGACAGACATCTTCCTGGATTGGATTATCCTCGGGCCGATGCAGCCACTCTGGCACAAATGAACTCTTGCTGTAGCCAAAGCCTCGGTACCACTACAAATCAAGTTTCCCAGATGTCATGTCTGCCCTTCATCCCTGACTGCCCACCTTGCCTAGCTCAGTGCCTGCACAATGCAGGGAAGAGCCGCAGAGGCATCTGGGAGGATAGGGCTCAGCTCGGTGTGGCCCCTGAGGGGCTTTGGGGCACCCTGGGGAGGTGTGAGCCTGTGGGCCATGGCATGCCTGGCTCGCTGCCCGGTCCTACGCCCGTGGCTGTGGGTTTCTTCCTCCCAGGACTGCACCCTCAGGCATCACTGTGAATCAAATCATTTCCCTCCAGATTCCCACGCTACAGTAAATAGTCTTGGAGTCTCACACACCGCCATATTTGGAGAGGAGGCCTTTATGCTGTCACCATACAAACACAAGGTCATTGGAGCAGCCCTGACTCCCGATGAGGAGCTTCCTCAGGGTCATCTGTTAAGACTCTCCACGGAGAGATGTCTACCTGTACACAGGGAGAAGCTGGCCCATTGCAGGCCAGGGAGAGGGGCTAGGCGGAGCCTCCCACCGCCTGGGAGGAAGTGACTCCCAGCCCAACCTCAGCTTCCTCAGGCTCCTCATGCCCCAGAGCCTTGCAGGTGGCCATTCTCAGCCAAACCGCCAGGTCTATGGGCTTGTTACAGTGGTTGCATGACAGACAACACTTTCAGTAATGTTCATCAGTTTCCCAAAAGAAGTCCTGCAACTGGCCAGGAAGGCGACGTACTGATGCTCCCCTTGGCCGTTGCAGCACTATGGAGGAAAACCTCAAGGGGAGAACACAGCACTGCTCTGAGAGCTCAACGGACACGCCCACTGGCCCCAGCGCAGGAGCCCTTTGGGGTTTCCTGAGAGTCGCATCCCAGGTGAACACCTTGTCCACAAGGGGGCTACCCAGGAGCCACACAGGGACTAGGTCACAAAGGTCCACGGTGGCCTCATTCATGACGGGACAAAGCCAAAAAGGCCCACACCTCCATCCAAGAGGAGTGGAGAACAGCAGCAGCGCTCTCCCCTGCAATAGAACCCTAAGGAGCTGTGACTGGGGACCACTGCCTGCCACCAAGTGGCTGGACAATAACCACAGCAGCACCAGAGTGGATCAGACCATGGCAACACAAGACCCTCCCACTGTGCCCTGGGAAAAGGACCTCACTAAAGAGCCCTCCTCACTCTGGGCCTGGACACAGCCCTGCCTATGTCCAGAGCCGCTCAGCCCTAGGCCTGTGGCAGAGCTACTCGGACAGACACAGTACCTGCCCTAAACACCCCTGTGGCCCTGCCTGGCTGCCAGGTCCCCCCAGGCAACAGTCACATTTGGCCCCAACCTGCTGTCATCATCCCTGTGACAGGGGACCAGGCCGTAGCCCCTCCCTCACCCTGACGGGATACTCAGCACATCCTTGGCTGGGTGACCCCGGGACATGTGACTGTCACTCTGATTAGGAGGTGACTGAGAGGATCGTGACGCCACAGAGCTGGAGCCTCAGTCCTCAGCTTGCCGGTCACCCCCTCTCAGGGTGCAGACACAGGCAGGAAGGGGTCAGGGACTGAGGTCCCGGCCGCCCCATGCAGCCGTGCTGGAAAGCAGTGGACAGTGTAAGAGCCCTGAGCTTTCCGGATGCAGGACGATGCTCCTCCAAAGTGCAGCCTCAGTTGCTGACAGCTGTCCACCTGGTTCTCCTTCCCTGTGAGTGGAAGGTGTTTGGGGGCGGCAGCTGCCCGAATGATGCAGCTCTGGGCTGGGCTCCACTTGGCCAATTAGCCCAGGTTTCCAAGCACACAAAGCCCTTATCTCTGGAGAGCTCCCAAGACTTTGGGTCCGTGTGTCAGGGAACCGTAAATCTTCAGGGAAATTTTCAAATGTAATTTTCTTCTCATGATTTTATTCCTGAGACTCGCTTGGCTTATTAATAAGTTGGCTCAAAAGGAGTCACCATAAATAGCGATATGGTCACAATGTCCTAGGGACGATTCCAGGCAGGGAGGGAAGGGCAGGCTCTGCTGATCCAGGTGCAAGGAGAGAGAAGTAGGACATCTGGGAGCGAGGTGTTCATCCGAAATAACTCACCTTCCACCCACCCGCGCGCTCCACGCCCTGACAGTGAGGAGAAGCACCTGTAGGGCAAGCACCCCGACTTCCCCTGGCCTGGGCAAGACTGGAGCACAGCTGCCCAGACTTTGAACCCGAGCAGGGCACCACAGGCTGCTGCAAATGCTCCCCAGCCCCAGCCGAGGTCCATTCTTGTCACACATGTAACTGTGTGCTCTGGGATGTGGTGACATCCTGAGAAAGGCCCGTCCCCAAGCCAAGGCAGCTGGTTGCCTCCAGGAGCAGACGGTAGCCCGTGAGCCCCCTTCCACACACCCCAATCGCCCACTACCCGACTCTGCAAGCCGCACCCGCCCGTTGCCCCTGCCTTGGTCAGCTCCACCTTGCCCTGGGTCCAGGACGTCTCCACCCTGCCCATTCTGAGCCGGCCAGATTTGCTCCCACTTCCTGGAGTGCCAGAGGTGGGTGAGTCCCGTCCCCAAAGCCCGCAGCCGACAGGCCAGGTCTGTCCTCTAGAGAACTGACCCGGGGATGGGGAAACACGTCACAGCAGCAGAAAGGGACCCTCAGCCACTCACTCCAGGGCGGAGCAGAAGCGAACACTTGGCTGCTCTCTGCTCCAGACCTGGCTCCTTAAAGAAAGGAATCCTTACAGACAGAGCCGTACCTCACACCTGCTTCTGGCCCTCAAAGGCCCGGACACTTGGCCCACAGAGGGACTGAGGGTCCATCCACTCTCCAAGAAGTGCTGCAGAGCAGTGGACAGTGTCAGAACCACTCTCCAAGTGGCCGGGCAGACCCTCCTCCTCCTCCTCTCAGGTGCTCTCCCCTGTCCGCTTGCACTTTTTACTTTCATCACACGAACTTTGGAGTGAGCTCGGGAGAAAGCAGCGCTGGAGTGACATTTTCACACGCTCGCTTTGGAACACCGAGCTTCCTGATCTGCAGTGTTCTCCGGGTTTCCTCGATGTGTGTCATAGACCTCTCTGTCATTTCCCTGAGGATAGCGAGTGTCTCCCTCAGCTCGGGTAGGAGGGTGGCACTGTGAATGTCACCCGCGACACGGAGGGTGCCCAGCAGGCATCGGGGACTTTAGGGAAGCTGCTGTGTGGGACCCACGCACACTCCAGCCCCAGAGCTCCGGACGAGCCAGCTTTCATCTCACTCTGAGAAGCTTGTTCTGTGAAGAACAGCTTCAGTGCAACACGAGTAGGAAGTGGGCAAAAACTGGTGGAGGAGAGGGGCAGCTCCTGGATGCCCTGTGCATTGGCAGGACACAGCAGCCCTGGGCCCAGCACCCCAGTCCACGCCCTGACCAGGCCCGGTGCTTCTGGTCCCTTCCCTTCTCCCCTGTGTCACGGTGTCTGAGCTGCTGCTCGGCGTGGGCGGGGAGTGTCCCCTCTGTGCGCTGACCTCGTACCCAGCAGTTTCCCTGGAGTCACAGTTTAGTTCTCGATGTCCACACATTGCTGGGGTCTCTCAGCCACAGGCCTGGTGAGCTGAATGTTTTCACTTCCATTCTTGTGCCCTTCCTATTTTTTCTTATTTTAAATCTTCATTAAAGGGGGGGGGCCTGGGGATTCAGCTTAGCTGTTTCTCAGCCTGCCTCTCAAGCACAGGGTCCCTTGTTCGATCCCCGATACCAAACATAAATAAATAAATATTTAAAAATTTACAACAATTAAATCTTTATTAGTCCACCCTTCCAGTCCGTCGCGTTGATAGCCCACGTGTGGAGTCGGCGCGCACACAGCACGCCTTCATCTTCTTTCAGCCCTTTCCTTCCCCCTCTCCCCGCTTTCTCCCTCTCTTGATCCCCTTGCACTCGGAGAACAGTCTATCTCCCTACTCCCGTTGTGGCTCTTTTGTTCTGCTCTTTACTCACAGTGTGGGTTAAACCGTGGGATACACCGGCCGACGGGGGCATGGGCAGAGAGAGCGTGGTGCTCACACACAGTGGCGCACTCCTCTGAAACAAAGAAGGGTGAGCTTGAGGATCAGAGATGCCCGTGAGCAGCGCCGTGGGGGCGAGGCCGTCCTGACGAGCAGCATCCCCTCTGCCTTCCCTTCCGCCTCACGACTTTCACCTGACGACCCCCTGCCACTGCCATCACATTCGAGAAACCACTGCCACCGCTGCTTGGCGTGGTTCTTCTACCGATACAGACGCTCCTGTGAGATTTGCAGGCCGACTGTGATTGCTGCCACTCTGCTCGGGATTGCATGTGTGGGAGCTCGGCTTCCTGACAGCTACCCGCACATGCCAAGCCGACGATTTAGCGGTTTCACTTTGACCGTCAGAGGTCCAGTGGACCAGAACCACTGGTCTGAAATCGTGCCTGCCAGCTCCTGTGAACTGGAAATGTCTCCTCCCACACGTGTTACGTTTTAGTCATCTTTACTTATTAATGTAAGTTATTTTGCTGGTCAGTCATGTTGTTTTTTCCTTCAGTTAAAATAAAGATTTGCACTTGTGAAACCACGTTGGCTCTTTGTATTTCCTCGACTTTTGTTTGCTGTTGTCTTTAGTATTGCTTTCTGTGTCCATGCAGTTTATTTTACTCCCACTGCACTCGAAGGATGAACCCTGACTTCCATTAGTAACTCGGTGGAGTCTGCACACCCCCTGCAGCCCATCCCACATGGTGCTGATTTGGCTGAGTCTCCCCGTCTCCCTGTTTACAACCACAGTCAAGTACTACTCAGTGATGAGGGCACTTGGTCCCTCGGAAGGGGGACCCTCTGCAATAATGATGGGCCCTTGACTTACAAACTCAATTTGTTCCCAAGGGTTGGTTGTAACTCAAGTTGGTCGACTGAGGGCTCAGGCTCCTCCGCACAGCCTTCAGAGTCTGTCTCTGGTACACAGGCAGACCTCAGCATCCTTAGAGAGCTGCTGGCCCAGGATTTCTCGATGAACCCCGCACAGGAAAGGATGCTGTCATATTCCTTCCAGAAC